CCTAAGGATGTTTGTGAAATTATATTGCTACAAACCATGAACAGGTAAAATCTGAAGAAATGTATAAACACATGCTTTATGGCATTTACTCTGCAAAGCTTTGTACAAGACAAAACCAATTTCAAGTAGGAAGATTATGCTGTACCAATCTTCCAAGTGGGAAGGACCTATTCATAATCTTCTTTCTTTTTTTTTTTTTTTTTTTTTCTTCCTTTTTTTTTGTCCTTGTCTAATGCTATGTCCCTTCTACCCAAATTCCATTTTCTTTATTATCTCTGAATTGCCATGACGTCTTGAGATAGTGGAGTGGTTTCCCATTACATCCTACACGATTTTGGATTTAACATTTTCCTTCTTTTAGACTGGTTTCTACTCCAGATGAAGGCAATCTTGGCTTTCCACAGATTTCTTTCCTTTATTATGTATTTGCCATGACTTGTTGGGAAAGATAGTTGAGTAGTTTTCCAAGACTTCGGATTCTCAATGCTTGAGAACTAAGTGTACTATTTAGTCCAAAGTTGAGTCAGGTAGAGTGAAGAGATAGATTCATGCCTTTTCCAATGGTATTGGTGCAAAAGTGAACATAATAGTCTAGACTGGGATTTGAACTTCATTCCACTTTCCACACTGATAACCTTTATGCTAATTGCACATACTTCTTTGTTTTTAACTTGTGCTTAAATGTTGACGAATGGCACTTGGGAAATGGTTAACTATGGATATTTATTCTGTAATAACAGAAATGTGGCATAAGGCCGAAATAGGGGAATGGGGAGAGGACGGTCTTCTTCTGTCTTAATTATAACTTAGCTAGCCGCAGACACTGACCCAATCGTATGAATAATATTCCTTACACCAAAACAACACATTCATACGTACCTTTCAAACTACAAACGCCATAATACCTCATCGTCTCTATGAAAAAACTAACTAATCCCCATATATACAATTCAACGTCTGTGGGGGGAGGGGAATATAACAATAATTCTAAAGATTAACCCCAATGTGTATTTACAATATGAGCACAATCTATTTACAAGAAACTAAAGAAAATGTTATCAGTAATAAAACCCCCCACAATTACTTAATGTGGCAGAAATACCAGTTCACTGGCCGAAATCAATGCGGGACTATAATAGTATAAAACATTCATTCATCTTACGCACACACACTAACACGCACTCATTCAAACACAACAACAAATACGAAAACACTCACACGAAACGAAAGGCGCCCCACATCCACCGGAGAACTGACATCACTGACCACCTAAAGAGGGAGGGGATGGGTAATTAAACTTAAAGAAAAATAGGGACAGAAATAAAAGGGACCAATGAGCATACATATCCTACCTAAGTTAACTAAATAAAAGAAAAAGAAACTAAAACATCATCAACTGAACCTAAACTAGCCTAGTTTCTAGATGGGTTGCACTAGTTCAACCCAGGAAAAGCAATATCCTGATGCCTAACCGGCATCAAAATGCCACTCACGGTCAGCCCCTTTCACATGACACAAACGCGCAAGATGCACCCACCTTTTGCTGAATTCTGATGAAGAGAGCCGCTGCCTTTCCGTCCTAATCTTGACTTTAAGCATCTGCAACCCAGAGGGCCCCACGAATCACCAGTCAGGTGAGTGATGCCTCATCGTTAGTGAGACATTTCAACCCGGGCGCCCAAGGACATATTGAGCGAGCCTCCCGCTTCATAAGACCGAGACTGTCAATCAGATTATCATGAACGGACCCCCTGACTAACACTTGATATAATGCCCTAAGAGACAACACCTGGACGTTGGAGAGGCCATCCAATGCCCTTAAGAGGCGCTTCAGAGCAAGACGACATTTGCGATAGAAGGAGCATTCAGTTCGGGGTAAACAGAAGGCCTCTTCCTCGCATGAGTGCACTCTTCTCAGGGATGGGAAGTTCTTACGGGCGTCTTCATTTCAGAAGGCGCCCTCCTCATCCGGTTCGCGACACATTCGATCTAGAAATCTGATGCGAAGCATATGTTGACGAATCTCAATGCTTGGCATGCCCAGATTGCCTTCAGATGAATGAAGGCAACAGATCCCCCGAGTGACTCTGGCAGCCTTGCCTCCCCACAAGAAGGAGAACAAGAGCCTCACGAACGCCAGCAAAGTGCCATATGGAAGTGGAAGCACCGAGAGTCGGTAAAGGAGAATCAGGTAGATGTGTGAAACACAAACTTCCGCCTTCCCCTTTAAGGAAAGATTCCTCCGAGACCACAAATTAATTGCGATCTCGGCCTTCCCTCGCACCTCCGACCAATTCATTTCCAACTAGAGATCAGGACCGAACCAGAATCTTGACCGGCCCATCCGTCCAGTGGAAAGGTCCGGGAAGAGAAACTCCCTTCCACGCACCCAACCACAAGCCAACAGACTTATCGCGATTGATCTTGGCCCCTGTCACCATCTCATAACAACTGATTTCTTTGCTGACTTCGTCAATTTCGACTCTGCTTGACACAAGAGCTGAAACGTCGTCAGCATAGGCAGAATACCTGGCCAATGTGCTAGCACCGGGCAGGGCAATTCTGCGTAGGACCAGATTCGCCTTTAACTTGCGAAGGAAAGGTTCCAACGCAAGAACGTAAAGCAACGGCAAAAGCGGACAACCTTGACGAATGGAGTGAGACAATATGAAAGGCTCCGATCGTACCCCGTTCACTTCCACTAGCGCACCGGGAGTCGCATACAGAAGTCAGATCCAGGATCCGAAACCGGCCGCCGAAAGAACAGCCTCCAGAAACCGATGGTCAACCCTATTGAAGGCCTTGGACTGATCTAAATTGATCCGCACGGCTTCACTGTCGACTTGCTCGATGATCAGGCGTACCATATGAAGATTGTCCTGAATCGTCCTACCCTTCACAGAACAACCTGCAAACGGTTACCCAAAATCTTTAACTCTGTGTTTAACATAGTTAAAGGGCGAAAGTTACCTAACCCATCCCCACCGTTTTCATCCTTGCGGTATAGACCCCTGCTTTATCCAGTTGCCAAAAATCAGTGCCAGCAGCAGAACAAAAACGGGCGACTGCCTCAAGTACACTTCGTACGGAAGACCATCTAGTCCCGGAGATTTGTCCAGGTCAACCTGTTTCAGCGCTTCCCAGATTTCCGACTCTGTAATGGGACCCTCGTACCTAGCTGCTTCAGCTGCCTCGAGGCAGAGAAAGTCAGCTAAATAGTTGTCGAACTGAGCAGGGCTCAGACCGGGCTCCCTGGTAAAAAGCTTCTGAAAGTAGTCACAAAAAGCCTCGCATATGCCCTTGTTTGTAGTCACGGTCTGATTATCCGGTAATGTGACGCACGCAATATGTCACCGTGATGCATTCCAAGCTTCCTCTGCGTGCAATTCAGTGGCCATATTCGTTGCCTCAGAGGACATTCTTTTTAACCTAGCCCTAGCCCTAACTACCAGAGCTTCATCCTTCTTGATAAGCAAGGAGGCCAACTCCACCTTAGCTAAAGCTATGTCCCCACTAACACGATCAACCTTCTCCTCTAAAGCCGTTTGCGCCGCTAATCTATCTAGATTGAGCCGACGACTATAATCAGCAGCAAACGTTCTAATTTTGGATTTTAAATTATCCCATCAGGCATTTCCCACAACCGCTCCCATCAGTTCCCTCTGTATCATTAGTAGCAGCTGGTCCCGGAAATCTTGCTCACCAAATAATGATGAGTTTAATTTCCAGTAGCCAGCCATCCTAACCTTAGGTTTATCTAAGTTTACACAGACCCAGACAAGCCTATGATTCGTATAAACTATCTCGTGGAAACTTGGACACCCTAAGAGCCCTACATCGACTCTCTTAACTAAGACTCGGTCTAGATAACTAGCCGAGCCGCCACTTTTAGTCCAAGTCCACACTACCCCCAAGGGTGTTCGTTCTGGTACTTATCAACAAGATCAAACCTGTCGATAAAGTCCTGAAACTGTTTAACGCCCCGGTTGTTAGTACCCGAAATTGGCCCTATACAATCTATATCGGGATCAAGGACGGCATTCCAATCACCCACTAAAACTACCCGCTGTGATGTCGTCAAAAACGACCCGATCTGCCGAAACAAAGCAGGCCGCTCAGAATGGGCATTAGGCGCATAAACCCCAATGAGCCGAAGAGCCTTATCCTTTATGGTAACATCCAGCACGCAAAGTCTTCCCGCCGGATCCACGAAGACAAGGACACACGCAGCCTTCAAAGACTTGCTTACCAGCCAAGAGACACCTCTCGAGCGGCCATCAAAACAGGCTGAATAGAGGGAGAACCCCCTAGACAGTATGTTCTCATAGTCGTGAGTAGAAAACCGGGTCTCTTGTACACAACAAATATTCACCCCAAGACGCTGAAGGTCACGAGAGAGCCTCGGCCTCGGGCATTCACACTTGCTAACCAGAGAGCCATGATGAAAACCGATTAGGGTTACTATCCTGCATTGAACATGGCCGGGGTCAGGACACCAACAGCCTCTCCCAATGAGCCAGTACCCATCTCACTCTTGATGGGACCATCAGGAGACAGGCCGCCAATGTCCAGGGGGAAGGTTAATTTTAACGCTCTATACAGGGAGGGGTGAACAAAAACTGGGAACCTCCCTGAACAATATTGTCATAGATCCTTTACCACGTCATCATCGAAACAGGCCGTGGGCGGGAAACTTCCAAAAGTTTCATTACATTCCGCCATCATCGCCCATATCGGTTTACCAGCAACTCCTGACTGTACAACAGTGAGAACCCTTTTTGCTTTAGGAAAATTTCTAGGGTCCTCTACGTCTAAGTTTTTTTATTTTTCTGAAGTTTAAAAGAGGTTTTATATTTTTCACTTTTTTGGCATGTATTAAAGCCTTTTCTTCAACATCCTTCGAGATTAGGCACACATCTTCCCCTGTATTGAAAATGGGTGTTTTTTTTTTGTTTTTTTTTTTCCACTATTGCCTCCGGTGAATCCGACGATGGACTACGTTGCCTTTTTTGTTTTTCAGGTTTACGGAGGAAATTGATGGGTGTTTTCTAAGGGGAAAGATTTGGGGAAGGGATGGGAGATGATGATTTGGATGCCTTCTTCAGTGTTGTCATGTGTGGTTGAACTTTGGTTAAGGACTTGAGACTTGGAGGAGTGGTCATAGGGTGTTTTTTTGTGACGGGGAAGATGGTGCTGTGTTATGTCTTTTTGTTTTTAAAGATTCATGGAGAAGTTGTAGCTTTTCCTTTTTTTCAAAGGACGGCTCATATCTGATCATATCCTGTCATAGTTTCGCTGAATAGCTGACCGGAGAGTTGCCCTTAGCACTGGTTGAGGGAGTGGGGCTGTATGTGTCATTTGCTGTTTTGGGTGTAGGATGAGGTCCCGCAGCCTGGGTCTTCCCTTTGGCCTTACTCACGACCTGCCATTCACCCTCTTCCTAACTGCACTAGCGGTGGGCAAAGGCTTTTCGGGGTATGGGGGCAGAGATTTAGACCTAACCGGGGGATTTTCCACACCGGTCCTGGTCGCAGGTATGCCCACTACAGGCGAGACGGATTGAACAGACTCGACCAAAGGGGGATTTGGTTGGGCGGGGGCCAGAACATCAGAGGCCATCTTCTCTGTGCAGGAAGAGGAAAGGTGACCAATCTTTCCACACTTCCAGCATGCCGGTTTATGACCCGTGACTATAATTGGCATCTTCTGGCCCTCTAAATTTAGACAGTTGGGGATGGAGACGAAGGCTTTTTGACTGATCATCAACTCAAAACTCCCCCCCCCAGTCAGATCGTCTGAGGAAGCACTGAGTATCTGTCCAAACTGGGACAGATAAGCGGCCAAATGCTCCCCGACAATCTGAGGAGGAACCTTGTATACTGATACTTGGTCCTCCGCCTGCCTTCATACTTGGTTTACAACATAAGGTCTTTTGTTATGAGGTCACGCGTTGAAGCTTCCTCACAATCCTTGCGCAAACGCTTGTCCACCACAAAGACTGACACAATTCTTTTTTCAACTTTCTTAGGCTCTACGGGATTGGACAAGAGCCCATCTGCTGTCACCAGATGTGCGTAGCTCTTGGCTTTCTCCAGGAACTCTGTCATGTTGATCTTACATTTAGGCGGGCACTTCCAGCATGAAGGCGTCTCTCCAGCTGCGTCATTATTCTTGAGAGTCTGATTTTCAGAGTTTCGGTTACAATTGGGCACCATATTATTGTCTTGTCGTTTACTTGCGGAACTTTGGCCGTTATCAGCTACAATACTTTCGTCTTGTGAAACTTTAATGGTTTCGGAATTTTGGCCAACTTGGGCTCCCATACCTTCTTTTTGAAAACTGGTTTCTGTTATAGAATTTTTGCCATTAGCAGCCACCATACCTTCTTCTTGTGAAGTGCTTTCTCTTGTAGAATTTTTCGCCATTAGCGAACACGATACTTTTTCCAGGACTATTTTTCCCATTTACATTTTGAGGAGAATTTGGATTCAGTTTTTGGGGGTCTTCTGCATCTATTTCTGTTTTTTCGGGAGTTTTGTCAGGAGGGTCATTTTTTTTTTTTTTTTTTTTGCCAAACAAGTTTTTTCTAGCATTTTTACCCATATTCTCTTTTCACAATAACAAAATATAAAATTAAACAAAAGAATATTTTATATAAAAACAAACAGATAAACAAGCAAAAAAAAAAGGGTCAAAAAGGAATACTTATAAAAAGGACAATGAAAAAAAAAAATAATAATTAACAGCTACAAATTACAGACGAGTACATGAACGAGAAAATGACAAATTAAAGCAGAAATTAAAGAAAAGAAATCTACTTATACAATAAAACAACAGAAAGTACGGAACGAAAATTAACAAAAAAAGAAAAGACAAAAAGGTCAGTAATAAAAAACGGAAGATAAAATCCAAAGGAACTTAACGTAATAACAGTTCAAAAACACACAATAATCCAACAGCAGAACTTCATTGAACACCGGTCATACGGGGACAGTGAACGTCGAAAAAGTAGTCCAAACAGCTTCATTTTTTTTCCAGGCATAGCTCAGATGTGGCACAAAGCTGAAAGTATGGGGCACCCAGTGAGGATCAAACTCACTACCCAGTCGTAATTGTTCTAGTGAGACAAGCTTGCTAACCATTACACCACCCCGAGGTGCCTAGGGAAATGGTTAGCTATGTAACCCTCCATAACAGAACCTACACACATGCTTTTATACATCAAAGATGAATTGTTTTATAGTCAGCTATTTGATAGTAAGATGGCTCACCTCATTTTCATTGTAATGCCAGAACTTCTGAAACCTTTTGAATTTGATGGATTTAACAAAGAAGCAGTGTTTGAATAAATATCTATTCTATTCATCTGATTTAATACTACTTGAACTCTTTGTATAAGGAGACAAATGTTTTGCCCCAAAATTCTGTACATTTTTTTTTTTCTTTTTTAGGGCATTCTTGGGTTCAAGGGCAGTGGACCAAAGATGAAATAGAATTATTGCAAGCCAACATTAATAGTTATTGTAAGGTACGTCTAATATCCTTTGCATTATTTGGGCTTTGTGTGAAAATGAAGACTTTAACACACATTCTCTCTTTCACTGCATTCTTTTTTTTAAACTCCCTCAACTGCTGCTGTTTATTTCAGTTAAGATCATTTCTGTCACTGTAGGAGGATATGACAACACAACCATAGAAATTCAAACATACTCTGTGGTGATCATGATCAGTTGCTTGCAATGACAAAAACTTTTTGGTGAAGATGTTGACTACAGAGTGCTAAAGGTTTATGGGTTGTTTTGTTTTTTCTTCTATGAAATATCTCACTCTTTACCTTTAAGAAGTTTTATATATATATATATATATTGAGTTATTTATTCTGGTTTTGTGAAATTGCCAATTAGAACCTTTCATCTAGTTTTAGTCTTTAGAAGATCAGTGTATCCAAAGCAGATATCTTTCTATTAAAATTAATGTTAATATTTTCTTAATTGTTGATTCTACTTTTTGTGGAAACCTCAGTCTTGTTGATTTTTATTATATCCTTCAATCTGTGTGTAGATGAACAAAATTGATAGATTGTTATAAATAAATATAATTTTTTATTGCAGGACAACAATATCAATGACCCAACTGAAATAATATTTGAAATGTCTAAAGATGAGAGGAAAGACTTTTACCGAACAGTTGCCAAGGGACTAAACCGTCCTCTGTTCTCTGTGTACAGACGAGTGATACGAATGTATGACCAAAAGAATTATGTTGGCAAGTACAGTCAGGATGAAATGATTAAACTTAGAGAGTTAGTATATATATATATATATATATATTTTTTTTTTATCCCTCTTCTGTTTTTCTCTTTTCTAAAATTATCTTTTACAAGTTGTTTCTCTTTTTTTTTTTTCTTTTTTTTTTTTTTTTTAAAATGAGCTTTTGACAATGCATGAAGATTTTCTTATCAGTCTTTCTTTCACCATTTTCACATTTATGTTGATAGTCATAGTGGAAAAAACATTGGGATTTGTAAATAATTATATTTATATAATCAATATTATTTACACTTGGTTTATTGTTTTTGTTGTTTTTATCACAATCACTATATAATAATTATCAATGTATTTATTTATATATTTTATGTCCCATCTGTAGTGAGGAGGGGAGGCAAATCAACTTAAGTTAGTAAATTTATGAGTGAAATAAATAAAATATTTATCTACATCCCTTAGTCGTTTTAATAATATCTTCAAATAAAATATTTATCTACATTTAGACAAAATTAGTTTCTGGGTAAAATTAACTGGTTAATTAATCAGGCTGCAATTTAAGAAACATAAGAGTAAACTCTTATGTTTCTTAGATTGCAGTCTTATTTGTTCAAGCCTTTCATGAGATGCACTCGGATATCTTTGTCTATTAAGTGATTCCCTTGCTTCAACTTAGTGTTGAAATAAGCTTTGGTGTTCTGTTGTTAATCTTTTTCTTTCAAGGGATATTTCCGTTTCACTGTTATATTAAATACATAAAATTTTTAACGTCAAAAGATATTGAGCAAAGTGATTTTTATAATATCAGGAGTAATCAATGAATCATAGATACCATTGAACATCTTAAAAAAAAAAAAATATAAAGGCAAAGGATAATTATATTGAACAATTCATTGGCGTATATTTTAGTTGTGAATTCTTTATCTCCACCTTATTGAATTTCAAGACATTGTTTCATTGCATTTCGTTATTAAAACTTTGTAACAATTTACAGCATGAGTACACCTATGATGAGAAAGTCCAGACTTCTTTGTTTTGATTTTTCATGTCTGTCGGTGTGTGCGTTAGTGAAAAAAATTTAAATAAATAAGCGAACCATTGTTTTTTGGGGTTTTTTTTTTTTATCTCATAATAGGGCTGTTTTTTTTTTTTTTTTTTTCTTTCTTTTTTCTTTCATTAATTATAAAATAGCTTCATAAAGATAAACAAAAGCAAGTTATCTTTTTTTGATATTGTAAAAAGTTTTTAAAGTTTTCCTGATTTAGGAAAGAAAAAAAAAAGTAATGTCTTCTTTTTTAACATAACCCCAGTTTTATTTTAAAAAAATGAATAAATAAATAACTCAACTGCACTTTTATTTCGAGGTCCACCGGCCCAGGTGGCAAAAACACTAGCAGACAACATTGTTTTTTTCGCTATATACCTTTCATATTTCCCATTGCCAGGTCATATAATAGTTCATTTTATTCAATGATATTTACACCAGTGTAAAGACAAAGGATTGAAGTTTGAAAAAAATTTGTTTTGAAGTGAAAAAATTATTTCTTAAATAAGAAAAAGCGATTTTTCATAGAAAATGGGCCATAATTTTTTAATGCTAACTCCCGAGTAACATTTTTCACAGCCAAATCAAAGATTTATTACCAGTGAATAATTCCATGTGCAAAAAATAGCTGTCTGGATCCTACAACATTGCCCAAAATGGTCCAGATGTTTACTGATTGATCAAAAACTTGTTGTGCATAATTGTGTTTTTCACAGTCAGTTTCCATTATTTCATCTTGATGTCATTTTTGGACAGCCAAGTTATCAAGGATTCAGGAAAACAGTTTGGCACAGGTTTGCTTTGAGAACTTTACATTCTATGAGGTGTTTAAAATGTTACTGATGAATGGGATTTTTCACCGAATATTTTGTTTATGCGCCATCTTGGATTTTCCTATATGATAAAAACAAGGATTTTAAACAGCTGTGATATCAACCAAGATTAGAATGCAGGTTCAGATAATGATGCATATAATAATGACTACCCATTTAAAAAATTCTAACATAAAATTTCCATAATGCTAATATTACCAAATTTTTAAGATATTTTAAACTTTTAATTCACTTGGTAAAGGAAATCCATTTTATCATTAAATTTTTCTTGATTTTGTCTGATTTTAATATTTCTCTTCACTAAAACTTGCAAAGGAAAGAAACAAATATAATGAAATATTTTTTCCTTTTTAAGCTTTTTTTTTTTTTCTAGTTTATCTAGTTTACAATGTTACAATCAAATTCAGATTATTTGACTATTTATGATTGAAAGTTTATACTTGTAAAATTTTTAAAATATAAATTAGCAGTATTTGAATTTTCAGTGTAGCAGTCAGAAAAGACTGTTTATAGATTAGATTTTCATTTTTTTTATTTTTTTTTTTTTTGATGATTGCCTTCAAACATCAAACGAATTGTTGCTGCTTGGTGTTATATTTAAATATACTCTATCCTTTTCTGTAGTTCATTTTATCTACAAATATAGTATACCTTAAATCTCTCTCCCTATACATATATATATCTACTATTTACATTATTTGGACTATTGTCACCATATTTGTCACCATATTTATTACAACATTTCGGCCATTGTATGCAATGGCCTTCTTCAGGTGGTTGGAATGTTGAACTGAACCCTTTATTTCGCTCACTGGGGTAGACTGTTCTAGTTCCATGTGCCATGTTTTTAATGTTTGTCAGTTATCAGTTATCTCCTGTTAATTCCCCTCTCCAAGTTCTCCACTACCTTAACCGGGTATTTAACTCACACTGTTTGGGTCCTGTCACTTGATTTAACCAATGCCTTTATCTACTGTGCCATGTGTCCTTGAGGACATCTGTGTATGAATTTCTGGGTATTATAAACCTAATGTCTTCAGCAACCATTTTTCCAACCACCTGAAGAAGGCCGGAGCATACAACGGCCGAAACGTAATATGGCGACAAAGATAAGGACAATAGTCCGAATAATGTAAATAGTGTACATAATACCTCATCTTAGAAATATAGACACACACATACACACATATGTCAGTTTCCTCCATGTCTCATAGTTATCATGTATCTCTTAGTTTAATCTTCTTGTGACTTTATTTGTTAAATTTGTTTTCATATATATTGATTACAAATTTTAGGGTGTTATGAGAAATTTCAAAAATTTAGAATTAAGGAAAAGACTGACTATTGGTATGATTATTATCTGTCACCAATGGGAGGGAAAATTAATTACTGACTTTTTATTTTTATCAAGGTTGCAGTCAAAACATGGCACTGACTGGGCGGCTATTGGTGCTGTGTTGGGACGAAGTGCATCTTCTGTGAAGGACAAGTGTCGACTGATGAAGGATACATGTAACTCAGGTAGGCAAATATGCTCTAATAAAATGAATAACTTTTTGTAACTATTACAATAGTACTTCACTCATGAATATCGGTATGGTTATACTTTCCTTTTGGACCAATTGAAAATTTTAAGAGATTTCAAAATGGAGAACTAATCTCATTTTTTAAATTATTTTTCATTTTATTTTATTTTTTTAAAATGAACTTAATTATTATGTTTTAATTAGTATTTCTTTCATCTTAGTTATTTTTCATTGCACAACAGTCACATCACTGTTTTCTTGAAGTCTTTATTTCCATGATAGCTGCTCTTAGCAATTGAGGTATGAGAACTTTTATGATTGGAAAATCAAATCTAACCTATAAACTTGTACAAGTTTCATGTGTAGGGACACAATCACCAGGCACCTTATGATTGCATCTTTGGGATAATTTGGGGTGCATACTTAGTGTTTGTTATTTTATGGCCTGGCAAATGACATTTTGGCAAAAATCGAGAGTTAATTTTCCAATTGTAACAGATTTTCTACCTCAATTAACAGCAAAACTTTCAATCTACAAAGTGTTTGAAAGTTCTCAGACTGGCCAACTTTAAAAAACCTGACCATATCAGCAAACATCGGACATTTTTTAATTCCTTCTTGATTGGACCAATAACTTCACTTCATTAAGTACTCGCTTATATTCTTGTTTTATTATTACAACAATTATCAAAATTTTGTTGTATGGTAAATACACTTTAATTTTTTTCATAAATGTCAGTAAAGTTACTTTGTGTTCTTTTAAGCTAAAAACCATCTTCAATAATTTAAATCTGTTATGTCTACAATTAATGTTAAGAAAAACAAAAAGGTTATCCAGGAAGAAGAGGTGCCTGTTTGTATCTAATGCTGTGGTTTATTTTATCATTTTGTTCTGTTTTTAATTCAGCAAAAATCTCTGTATGTTAGTGTTCTTCTTTCAAGGTGCATTTATTCACCTGAAAAGGTAGAATAATGTGAAAAATATTCTCTAAAAATAAAATAAATTTACACACCTTTTAATAAGTTTTTGGTTATACAGGTTATAATCATTTTAACAATTAGTTATTTTTTTTTCCATTCTTTAGGAAAATGGCTTCCTGAAGAAGAATGTCGCTTGACAGATGCTGTGTGTGAGTTGACAGGAGCCCAACCTGGTATTGCCACTTTAACTTATTTTTATTAATCCAATTTATGAACAAATGAAAAGTAATTATGTTTTTAACACCCACCACCACAGGATTTGAATTATTTTCTCTTTATCTGTGTATGAAATGACTTTCTCAGTCATTGAATTTGTTCAGAATGTAACTTTGAACTGTAAACTCTATTAAGAATGTATTTGTGGTGAAAGCTTGATGGTTAAAACAAAAAAATAAGACTTGAGTTACATCATCAATTTTAGGGCATTGATTTATTATGAAAATTGTACAGTGCAATTAGTAACTTCAAATTAGTCAAGAACTTGTAGACTTTGTATTAAGTAATGTGTGTTTATATAGCTGTAATCATTTTATCCTTTATCTTGTAATTAACCTGATTACTAAACTTGTAGCAGAAAGGAGCTACCATTAGTAGTGATGTTCAAATAGATGACTTCAACACACACACACACACATATATATATATATATATATATATATATATATACACACACACACACACTGAGTGGTGATAATCTGTGTCATGTATGAGCACAATCTGATAAATGATGAATTGTTGCTGCTTGGTGTTTTATTTGCATATACTCTATCCTTTTCTGTAGTTCATTTTATCTACAAATATAGCATACCTTAAATCTTTCCCTATATATATAAAAAAGGATTACAAGAACCTCCAGTCTGACAAAAGGATCAGACATTTTTGATAAACCACCCATAAATGCAAAGAAACAATCACCTAACCTATCAGCTATCCTCACCTCTACCAAATATCTAAACAATAGAAACCAATCAGGAAATTACAAATGTAACAAACCTCGTTGCTTAGTTTGCAAACATTTAATAATAGCTAATATTCACCAATATCAAGATACATCCACCTAACCTCACCTGCGATAGCCATAACGTAATCTATTATTTATTCTGCACCTTATGTCCTAATAGTGGATATATTGGTGAGTCTGGAAATAATTTTAGATTTTGTTTCAATAATCATAAACAAACCATACGACAAAACAACCCTTATTCCCCTATAGCTAAACACTTTAATCAATCAGGACACTCATTAGAAAACTGCAAATGTTTATTGATAAATTCCGATTTTAGTTCCACATACACACGCAGAAAAAAAAGAAACATATTGGATTTTAAAATTAAATGCACATAAACTAGGCTTGAATAGGGACTTTGGTGTTTTAAATCTTTATAAATATTTCAATAGTTAAGCAATTTTTTTTAGATACAGTTAAAAAAACATTTTTTAAACAACATTTAAAATATTTATGACAGTTAGATTTAAGTTAGGAATATCCGAACAGTAACGTTCCATATCACGTGACGTCCGCGTCTCGCGAAGGACACTACTTGCTAACAAACAGTAATTTTAATTTATTTGTAATAAACAGTTATTTCTGATGAAAGATTGAGGACAATTTGAAATATCAAATATATATATATATATATATATATATATATAAATACTTTCATAAAATAAAACATTATTTTTTTAATTTGCAATTTTTTCTATATATACATATTAAGAAAGTATACGTGGCTTCTCACTATGCTATATATATATATATATATATATATATATATATATATAAAAAGTTATTGTCAATTGGAAAAACTTTGACACTTAAAAATGAAGAATATAAAAAAAATGATTTTCTTTCTCTTTTAGTTTCATGAAACACCAGCTTGGGAAAAATAATACAAGATTTAATTATTTTAAGTATTAAAAATAGAGAAACTTTAACTTCTACCACTTCGTCCCCAGCCCCTCAACCTCCGGCGTCTTCCTTTTTGGGTTGAGGTGTCCACTTGGTCCAAACTGAACTTAGGGGTAACTGGCCGTACACTCCCTGAGTACCTGTAGATTATTTCGACTGGTCAACTGGTCAAGTCCTGCTCGCTGCCCACGCTGTGTTAGTTTTTAGATCCAGTAAGTGGAGTGTTGTCCATATGTTCACAGTTGACTGGGGATGTGGACACGGCTGTGAAAGTTGGCGCTAGGAAGTTTAGAATATGGCAAAATAAAACAAGAAATAATATCTGCAGAAACAACAATGGAGGAAATATAGACGTCTTTTATATAAGAAGATAAAAACATTTAACATAAATGAGAAAAGAAAGACAAAATGCATCCAGGGAGGGTTTGTGTATGATAAACGCGTGTTGAATTGCCTGGGGTAGGTTTATGACTAATAGTCCAGTCTCATACAGACTTCTCAGAACAGGGGGTAGTCTTCTCTCTTTCCTCCAAAATTCTCCCGCAAATCTCTCGACTCACTGCGACAATAGTCTTGTGACTCTCTCGACTACAGTCTCTTTCCCCGACTCTGCTTTATTAGCAAAATCTTGAGTGAATATAGAAAAAGGATCAGCTGATCACAATTGACCCTTGGCCCAGCACGCAGCTACCATGAGTGCCAAAACTATCCCTTGACATGTAAACTGATTCTCCAATTTACCTTATCTCAATCATGAGTTCTCACTTCACCAAATTATACTTTGGGATATCTAAACATTGATTCAACCTTTTAATCAAAACAAATACTGTTAAACAAAACCAAGTATCTCGCCCATCCCCATTGTTTATTAGTGACCCAGGTTTAAAACATCACCTCCTGCCCTGAGATCGTGTTTCTCATCGGTAAACACACATCTTAACCCAAATTGTACTTTGATATATAAACACTGTTTCCATTTCCAGTCAATAAAAGTTATATTTGCGTGTGTGCGTTCATGTGGGTGTGTGTATACCTCTCTCTGTTACAAACTATAAAATGACTAGTTGAAAAATTATGAAGTTTTACTGTTTAAAAAATGTCAAGATGATCATTTGGTGAAAAAACAATATAGTTTATCAAAAGAGTGATGAAAAGCAATTATTAATAATAATAAAATCTACTTCATTGGATTATAAACTTCTTTATTTTTTGTTACAGGAGAGAATATAACTCATGGTTTATCATGGGCAGCAGTAGCTGAAAGGGTGGGAACACGGTCAGAGAAACAATGTCGAACAAAGTGGTTAAACTACCTCAATTGGAAACAGCAAGGAGGAGCAGAGTGGACCAGAGAAGATGATATCAATTTAATATTAAAGTAAGTTCATCAAATAAATCAAAAGATGAATTTCATATCCATAATACTATATATAAACAACTTTGTAAATGTTCTCTTGTTGGTCATTTATATCCTGTGATTATTTTTTTGCTTTGAAAATACAAAACTTAGATCTACGAGAAAGGTCTTTTCTATAATCTGAAATCAAGTTTTAGCATTGACACAAAAAATGTTGCCTTAAGAATATAATAGTTGCTCTAAAAAGAATATTTTCTGACAAATGATTTGCTTTGTTTCCTACTAGCACAAAAGGTTTGGTGATTGATCTCCGGTAACAGTCAAGTTTTTAGTTATTGATTTTTCCATGTTAGTAGGTGTGTCTCCATTGGATGATTGGAGCAATATAATCTTCATCCTTATATTGGATGATGTGTTCCATTTAATAAGTAAGAATGAAAGAAAATTTTTTAAAAACATTTTTCATTAACAAACATTTACTATTTTGTTCCACTATTTTATTCTATCTTTGTATAATTCTCATAATTCCATCTGAAAACATTTTATCATTATTATCAAAGAACTTTTTTAGGTGACTTTTGCAGTCATCTAAGGAACTGAATTTTTTTTTTTTTTTATTAAGAGTATTCTGTAAAGATTGAAATTAGAGAGTGAAAATTATCCAAATTGTAAGAATTTTTGCCTAGTTGCTCAAAAAACAAAACCAAAAATGATCTAATATTGCCCTGGTGTAATATTTTAGTCTTTCTAATTTTCTTATTTGGGAGCAGTACTTGTTCAAATCCTTTGGTTCTCCAGAAGGAGTTAAAACTACAGGGCTCTCTTTGAATCCTACCATTTACATTTGATGTTTAGGTATAGTTAGTGACGGTTCACTTTTCATGATTTTTTTGCATTCCATGTTGCAAGATATGTACTTTTCATCATTATCCACCACAATTTTTCAAAAACAGATAATTTTCCTTATATATAAGCCACACAGCTGAGCAACTAACATAACCAAGGAGATGCAAATGATTTTCAACACTTAATCCAGATATTTTATGTTGGTTATCTCCTGTGTCATATAGCAATAATGATTCTCTAGTAATATCTTGATTTGATTGCTCTCAATTTCAATGTCTACACATGAAACTTCATAAACCACTTTTCACATGTTTGATCATTCACAGTACCTTCTCCATCAGCTGCAAACTTAATTATTTATTTATTTTTTTTTTTTTTTTTTTTTTTTTTTTTTTTGCCCTTGAGCTGCTTTTTTTCTTTATTAAAATATACCAAAAATATTTCTGCCCACTTTGTGTTTGGTTTGATCCAGAAAGCAGAAGTGTTGTTCATCCATTCAAGGTCGACTGAAGATGTAGACACAGCTGGAGAGTCTGCACTAAGAAATTTAGAATGCGGCAAAAAAAATTAATATCTGCAGAAAGCCAGACAAACAACTATTCAATGATTGAATTGTTAATGTCTTTTATATAGCAGAAAAGAATAGTATAGAAAAGAAACGGGTTACAGAAAAGAAAAGTAGTTGACGTAAAAACGCATACACTGGATTCTGGACAGAGAGAGAGTGTGTTATGATTAACTTGTTAAATTGTCTCAGAACAATATACAACTCTTGCGATGGGGAAATAAAATTTCTGTGTGCGGCTTAAAGTTTATAGTGGCGTTCCTCCTTAGCAGTAGTAACAGCAGTAGTAATATTCGTGGTAGCAGAAGCAGTGGTACTTATATCAACAGTACATGTTAGTGGACGCTTCATTCCAATCTCTGGTGTCGCTTTCTCTCCTTCTTGAGTCTCCAACTCGACTCTCCACTGTCTCTAAACCAACTCTTGCCCGGGCTAATTCTCTTCTGTCTCTCTCTTCAGTCTGCCTCTTTTTCAGCATAGCTATGCGTTTATATAGAAAAATCTGGCTGGTTACAACTGAACCTTGGCCCTACTACTTCACACGTGATTATCATGGAGTTTTGGTTGTTTCAACCAAAATCATGTGAATTCAAAAGTTCCTCCTTGCTTACTCGGCTCTATTCCAAGTTTTAATCAATAAAAATTATTTCGACGATTTCCATTGTCTGCTAATGACCTAGTTCCAATGGGTACAGCTCCTGCCCTAGATCAGGTTTCACCATCAGTAAACAAAAATGCTCTGATCTAATTTCTCTGTTCAAATCCACTCCAATTTCACAAAAAAAAAAGTGTGTGTGTGTGTTTCCCAGACTCTGTCACAAATGCAGTTAAATATAATTAATAATTTTCATTGAATTTTGTATTTCTGTAATGTTTACAGACATTGATAATCTTGTAATTGAGGTCAATTTTGGATGACATTATTAACATTACTTTTCTTTTCACTGCATTCTTTTTCAAGGCCTCTCAATTGCAGTATCCTTATTGTTAATTTCACTTGAAGTTGTTTTCTGTTGTCATAGCAGGATACGACAACACAACTTTTTTTATGAAATTCAAACACACTATTCAGGGATCTGTTACCTTCGGTGGCAGGATAAACTATTTGTACCACAAATGAAGTCACATACAGAGTGATAAAGGTTTTAATTAACTTTGATTATGAATTAATAATTGTCATTAAAGGCTATCTATAATCTGCTATAACTACCCAATCATTTCTGTTTCTATACAAGTAATGTTATTTTAACTGAAATTAGAAATTTAAAGGTTTTTAAATTACTATGATTTATTTAAAGATTTTATGATTATTGCTACATTTCTTTGTCTCACCTACTTCACCAAGAGGAACAGCATGTAAATTATACCAATTTATGCAGACATATTTTAGGGTTATGGATGTAAAATTTTAAAAGGTGTATTTGGTCTGCACTCTAGAGGTATAAACAAAAATATAGCATGACTTATTTTTTTTGTTACAAAGCAACAGACATTGACTTAAAGATGTTTGCTGACAATATTAACTGAAGGTAAATTGTTCCTAAGCAACATCTGTAATATAACTCTGAAAACCAAGCGTTTTTGTTTTTTATTACATCTTGTGAAATAACAAATATCAATTAATGTTTTATTTCACTTAAAGTGAGAAAATTAGAAAAAGTTAATAGCAGCTTTTGAGCAATTAAATGAAAAATAAAAAGTAGTTACATTTCTGATTTTGAAAAATGTAATATTTGAAGAAAAAAATAAATTCTTTCTTTTTTAATGTTATAATGAGGTAAAAAGGAAAAAAAATTCAACATGGTGTCCCACTATCCATTCACTGTTAAAATTAATTTATTTTTTGTTTCTTTCTAGAATGTCATCTTCAGGAGCTACTGATGAGACACAATTAGATTGGAATGAATTAGCAAAAGACTGGCCAAGGTATGTTTTTCTTTTGTATGTGCAAATAAGTGCAAATTATCAGCTATAAATCTATGACAATAACTGAATTAATATTATTATTCATTTAGTCATAACATCCTTAAAGTCGATAGTTATCGTCTGTCTTCTTAAAAAAAATTTTTTTTTTTATTGTCCTCTTTCATTGATAAGTTTTTCTCATATTTTTTAGCACTCAGTAACCCCCATTGTATCATAGTGACTTTATTACCTTGCTTGGAGTAAACTGGCTAAAAAAAAAAGTTTTGAATTACAGATTGCTAATTACAGATTAAAAAATACAATGACAATTTTAATAAACAAGTAATGAAACTTGACTTCTTCATTTGACTTTGATCTTGTGGATATTCAGATATAATTTTCTTTTCTAATCTTCAGTGTCCGTTCTCCTCAGTGGTTACGAGGAAAATGGTGGTCTTTGAAGCGACATGTTGCTGACTATCAACTGTTATCATTTACAGGTAAGCTTTTAGTATCTCTCAAGATTTGTCATTTGTCTTTTCTTAAATTGAATATCATTGCTTGTTAAGTAGAGAATTTCTTTCATTGACTCCATATGAAAGTAAAAATTTTCTTTAGTTTGTCATAAAACACTTGTTCCTGTACAATCATTGAATTAATGTCAAGCCTGGTCAGTACCTAGATGTGTGCCTGCTCTGGAACATCAGCTGTAAGCATGGATGTGCAGGTGGTGTAATGGATAATTGCTTGAAATTGTTAATCAGAGAGCAGATTTCCAATTGTAACTGGGTTTGTTATATTTACTTATGTGCAATTACCCTTGGTAAAGGTATGAATCCACTGCTTATTCCACCCAGGTATGGGTTAATTAGTAATATTGTACACACACACACACCAAAAAAACTATAAAGGGTTAATCATCTCTTAAAAAAAGAAAAACACAACAACAATCATAAAATGCAAATAACAGATTATTATTATTGTATAACTTTGTCTAAGGAAAATTCAATTTTTGTCTGAATTTTTGTGATGAGGAATTATTATTATACACTGATTTACTCTGCCAAGTATCCTCATCTTGGTTGTTGTCATTGCAGCACCTTGACCAGAAGATACAGTGGTAACAGTATTGTGAATATAGCAACTAATGTATAATAATAATAATTCCTCATGTCAGAAATAGCAAAAACATTGGGATAAGAACAACCAGGACATAAGTCTAATTAAATCAGTTTATAATTAAAGGAAAACATACTAGTGTTTGATTTCAAAAAATTCTTATTAATATTCTTGGAAATCATAATTTTTATTGTGTGGAATATACAAAAAGCTGCTGAAAAGTTTTTGGTCTAACTCACTTCCTAACATCTGACTAAACATTAGGTTTTTTTTTTTTCTCTTTGAATGACTACTTAGTTAAGCCAAGAACTTTTCAACACTCAATAGGGAGAACAGTGCTCAATATTATAGAACATTTATCAGGATAGGTTATATTGAATAAATTCCAAATCACTCTTATGTACATGAAATATTAGAAATGTAAAAACCCACAAAATAATAATCTTGACCTGGCTTCCTAGCCATGTCAGCATTAAGAGTAACAAAAAAGCTGCTGCAATGGCAAAGGAGGCAACCAAAATAATAACAAACATTAGACTCTTCTATACAGATTATAAAAATAAGATCACACAGTGTATTAAAAGAAAAAGGCAAACAATTTGGGATATGTTTCCAAATAACGAACTGTACAAACATCGGTCAACAATCACACTGGAAAATAGAAGACAGAGCATAGTGCTAAGCAGAGTCTGAATTGGATGTGCGTATCTTACACACAAAGCAGAAACTGCACCTCGGTGCATCTCTTGTAATCAATTGCTTACTGTTGAGCACATCCTAATAGACTTTTAAAAAAGCATAAAATTGCATATAACACATCTGTAGTTGAAGCAATAGAATGGCATACAAAGTATTTGGGTTTCGACATTGAGTGGCTGATGAAAGTTGTCATATTGCTGAACAAAATCAATCAACCAATGATCTATAGTAGCTGATATGCCATTAAAATAACCGATCAATCAATCCTGAAGAGTTTTATCATATATTCAATTATAAGCCCAAGAATAGTGAAACTTGGACTGTTTCTTTGTATATATCAAAGGTATTTGACAGGGTTTGGCATGCTGGTTTTCTTAACAAGTTGAATGGTTATGGTATTTTTGGATAAATTTTTGAACTGATTCAATATTTCTTATGAAATTGCAAAATGAAAGTTTTTTTGAATGGCCAATCTTCTAGATTTTTTTTGCATTGATGCAGGTGTTGTCCAGTACTCTATCCTCGAACCTACATTGTTCCTAATTTTCATCAACAATCTTCTTGGTGTCATCAGTTCTCAATTTGGTATCTCTGCTGATAACACAACTATTTACTCTTGTTTTAATAGTAAGTCTAAACATGCTAGTTAATTTTAACATCTCAAGAACAAAATAATAACTACGCCAAAAATATGAAAAATAAGAAAAACAGCATCAGCCTACAACAATAAATCCCAAAACTGTAAACTCTCTCTTTCTCTCAGGCTTTTATAAAATCTTCAATACCCACTGTTTATGGACATCAACAATCTGTTTTAAGAAAACAAACTTAACAGAATTTTAATCTACTTTTGATGTTTGAGTAACGAGCAGAATTGGTTTTTATTTTGAGACTTTTTACGACTTACTTTCTTTTTTTTTTTTTTTTTTTTTTTTTTTTTTTAAAGATGTTAAGTTGACGTTTTCTTTTCTTTTCAGCACTTGTTGATTATTTGAAAGTGATTCATCTCAAAAATGTTCGATTGAAGAATCCAGTGAATAACAATCTTCGAGTAGCCAAAGTAGACCTCCCTCGGACAAATGCTATTAGCGCGGACATTCCCTACCCTACTTCACTTCCAATTGCAAACTCAAGTACAAGTAAGCAAATATCCACTTTTGTGTTACACAGTATTTCGCACAATAGGGAATGTGTTTTGTCACATTGCATTTTTTTTTTCTTTTTTAATCACATTTAATATTGTTGCTTGATTTGATGATTTTTAATAAATTTTTTTATTTGATATCCTTTCTGCCACTGCCTTATATACATTATCACTGTTTTTGACTCAAAAGATGAATACATTTGCAGTTTTATGTTTATAAATTAAATATATTTAATAAAATAAAGGAAACAGTTATTAATAGCCATTTTATGGGTGTATTTGTTTGTGAGAGCAACTCATGTAATATCCAAAAATGTCTAAACATTTTGATTGTTCTTGAATGAATGTTCTGGACTTCATTTATGCTTTTACTTTTCCAATATTTGAAGTTTGTTGTCATCCATTTTTATTTTATTGTTTACATTTGACAAAATCTTACTTTAATGAGAAGGGAACTTTTCACTTAATAAAATGACTTGCAAATTGTTGAATTCAAAATCTGGTGGTGTTCATTCTTTGGGAAGAAAATAAAATATCACTTCAAGTTAAATATACCCTTGACCTATTCCTATTCATTGATGACTTCATCTTTTCTGCTTATAGTTAGTCAAGTTGACAGTAATGATGTGAGTAGTGAGGGAGCCCTGCATACCTATGAAGTCCTCCAACAGTTAGCACCTACCAGTTCCAGTGCCTTCCTTATAACGCAGCCCCAGAACAATCCAGCCATATCTCTGACAGGCAGCATGACCACAGACCATATCATTGTGCATACACTACCAGTTTCTCAGGTATGGATTTCTTTTATTGGTTCAGAATAGTCAATATTTAACAACAGAAAAAATTTAAAAAAAAAATGAATGTTCTCGTATATTTGATGATAATTTTATACTTTTATTATTTTTTAATTTATTAATTGATTTCTATTATCATTTAAATATATATATAATATTTCTTAAAGTGGTACATTTGATGATGAACTGTTGACTCCAACATCCAGTGTAAAACATGTGTGGGCATAGGGGGCTCTGGATAGAGATAATACCTTTTGATGTTTGGCATACTGTACCTTTGGGTGGATGGGCATCACTGGTCCTAAATCTCGCATGTGATGGCTCCAAATTGCCATGCCTCAGTAAACTTTCAGCTGGCAGGCTACACACATAAGGGGGGTAGTGTTAACACAGCACCACTGAGTGAAGGACTTTATTGACACAGGACACTAGCCAGGGCAGAAGGGTTTGTCAGGTGAACTACAACAGCCACGTGTTCATGGCCAATGTGAACCACCCAGTTGGAGGACATCAGTTATGGTCTAATCTAGAGAGGGATGGGCTCCACTAGGCTAAAACGCCTATGACATGTGACATGATGAGCACATCAATAAACACCCTTATACTGGGACTGGTCAATAACTCAGAATGTTGGCACTCCAATGAATTCTCTTGGGATTAAGGGTTAAGTGCAAAAAGGAAGTAAATATCCAAAATCAAAAACACTGGAAAAATACATCTTGAATTTCTTTAATTTTGATTGAAATTTATCATCGAGTTTCTGCAGTCAAATTAAAAAAATCATCAATTCCTATATTAATAATGCTCCCAAAGTGAGGGAGTAGTGACAATTTGAATATGCCAAAGAGAATATACAGTACTTTTAAGTAAAAAGGTTTCTTAGATAAAACTGAATATTCTCTCTGTTGCATAACTTACAGAATTTTTATTATACTATTATTATTTATTGTTCTTAATCTCTTATTGTGCCTAATTTATAAATAGATCTTTATCATAAGTATAGTAAAAAAAAAAAAAAAGAGATACATGGAGTGTTTAGTACTATCTGTGCCATCTACTTGGAAGTTTTAGAATTTATCTCCTGCAAATAAGATAGAATCACTGATGAATAGATAGAAGATATGTCATATATGCATAAATGCACGAGATATTATCTAAAAGTTAAGAGAAATTGATAATGAAAAAACTTTTTGAAAGTGTATAGTGATCCCAGTCATTGTTGTCCTCTCTCTCGTAGGTGGATGTGCATATGGTGTAATTGATAGTGGCTTAGAATGAGAAATTGGGGGGGGCCAAGTTCAAATTCCAGTTGAGTTTGTTACATTCACTTACATACAAATAGCCTGAAGAAACTTATGAATCAACCTCTTCTCCTCTATAGGTTTAATAGGACTTTTGTATGAAAAATCTTGTCTCCAATAAAATTGTTAATGCAATATTCACTTGTGAAAAAAAAAAAAAAAAGAATTATTTTTACAACCCAAAATATGTTGTGGCTTTAAATAACCCACAAAAGGTTAAGCCGTAAAAACACAATTGATCAACCAATTTCTCTTAGATTTGTACTTTACAATCAATTTCACTTATCAGTCAATGTTAAAATTCTTTGAAATTTTAAGTCCTCTGTAAATTGCAATGGCTTGATCTTCAAATGGAAAACATACATTCCTATCTTGTAAAATCTGCAGATTTATTTGTCAGTTTAGTTCTGTTGAGAGGCACTGGGCTGATCATGGAAAAGTGGGAAGTTTTATTTTAGATGCAATTTCCTATCCACAACAAGTGACGTAGGAAAAAGTTTTATTATTCTCAATGTAAAGGTTTTACTATTGACAGTTTAGTCAAAATCCATAATCAACTCAAGAGATTAAACACAAAATGTTTTGCTACATCATGACAGATTTAAATTAACCTAATTGTTTACATTAGCTAATAAGTAGGCTCCTTTCAATGTTCATGAATGTAACAAATTTTTCACTGTTGCTTGAGCACTAAGGTAGTTATGGGAGAGTGGTTTACTCAAATACTCACCCATCTACACTCTTTCTCAATCATAGTGACATGAATTTATTGTCAACATGTCTGGTGATAAAAAGAAGTGTACAAGAAATGGATGAATGTCTTTCAAAAAACCATTATTGTTAAGGGAAGGCAAATAAGCTCATCAAAAAAGTAAATGATACCAATTCCATTTTCTGTTATGCATTTAGTAGCATATATATTTTGGATTGGAGGCATGGTGGAATAATAGATAGCAGCTTGAACTGAGGAATCGAAGAGCCGAGTTTGAATTCCAGTTGAATCCATTACATCCACTTGTTAATACCCTTAGGAAAGGTATAAATCCCCTTCTTCTCCCCCAGCTTTGGGTAAATTGCAGGACAGACCGGGTTCTAGAGTCTTGGATGGCAATTGGTCTACTGCAGAAAGAAATGCTAACATACTGTGGGAGAAAAAAAATCTGGTTCGTCAGTCATGTATCGAAACATGATTGTCTATGCATGGAACATAACTGAATGACTGATATTTTGGATGTACCTAGTCAGCAAATGTGTCATTTAAACAAGTTTGGTTGACGATAAGACAAATTGTTTGCCATAGTTTTTATTGTTAACAAAATAGTTTCCTTATCTTAGTGTTAAAGAAATATCCACATTTCATGTTTGTTTTAAAATTCTATGCTTTTCACTGGTTTCAGTCATTATTGAGAATGAAAAAATTAAATGAAATTCAAACTTTGTTTAGTGATAGTTTGCATCTCTATTATGATTTTGAATTTAAAATGTTGAATGTTTGTGCTCAGTATAAAATAGTTTGGCCGTCTATAGATAATAGATAGACGAATTCCAATGTGATATATTATTTCAGTCATCAAGTCCTGGGTCTAAAGTGAATGAGAATGTCACTGTGCAAATCAACCCTCAACCTCAAGTTATAATTGGTTCTGGTGATGGTTCCGACACAGTGATCTCCCTTGATAACTCCGCGATTGACCACAGTGTGCCTCTAGCAGACAATATCAGCCATTCGGATTCTGGTAAGTGTTAATCACTTTCTCTTTTTGCTTTATGATAATGCAATTATAATGATTATCAAGATGATGAATGCAATGGTATCCAGAAATTTAAACACAATGGTTTATCAAGATCTGTAGTCTTTACAAATAATTTTAATTTCATTTTATTGTAAGTATTGTTAATTACTGCTGATTTTTAGTCAAAGAAGCTCACATATGTTCTTATCTCACTGAGTAGCCATTCAATAAACTGCACCCCCCTCTTTTGCAGTTAGGTCATTGTCTGATTATCTGCTTTGACCAAAGTGGCTCAGTCCCTTTTATTTATATATAGTAAATAACAAAATAGTTTGGGTTGAATATGTACGTCCCCCACTAATTGGACTTTGTTGCCATTATGACAATATTGAGCTGGAAGTTAATAATTACATGCACGCGCGCGCGCACACACACACACACACACACACACAAAGTATTTAAGCTAGCTCCCTTGATTGGGCCTTCGTCACAATAGGTAGGGAGAAGTAGATGCGATAGGCAGCAATAAAGTACAGAACTCAAAACTGATCGCTGCATTTAAGTATTGCATTAATATCTAAGCTTACCTTTTAAAAGTTCAACGATAATTCTTATGCTGCCACTTAATTTGAAAAATGTATGTAGGTCCTTACTTTCCGTACAAACAATTATTTTATTTCATGGGTGGCTTTTGCTGGATTTCACAATTAATTTTGATTATTCCCAAATTTATTTCCAAGTTTCAAAAATTTTCAGAAAAAAAAAAAAATCACATAAAAAAAAAATCATTGAAAACAGAGTAATGAAAACTTGGTATTCCAAAATGTCAGGATTGTTGGGTGTAGATCAAGCCTGGAATGTTATAAATAATAGTATGATATGTTGGGCTACATCCTCTAGGAGTAAAGTTGAAAAAGTGTAACACACTAACATTCCCATTTATTTCTAAATGTAAAATAATTAAAGTAAGAGAAATTATACTCGTACTTATGAGCAGTCATAAATGCTAATTATTACTATGAAAGATAAAGCCATATATCATAAAAAAGATAGATATCATTTTCCTTCAACAGAATAAGAAACATTTGATGAGACCTTTCTCTGGGTATATGTAATAAATTTGAGTGCTAAGCATGAAATAGTTTGGCTATGTATAGAAAGTTAAGTAATTAAAAATTGACCGTGTCATATTTCATATTAATCATCTTGAAAGAACCAAACTAAATCAAGTCTCCTCGTAATTTCTTTAATCCATTTCTATACCAGTTAGTGTATAAACTGAAGTTTTACTTGAATGCCCCAGTATTTTATATATATATATGTATATATTTCAGGTGTACAGCATGTCTTAAAATTTTCTTTAATATCCCAGTACCATAGAAATTTTTTTTTTAAATGATATCACCCCATGCAAAGCAATAAAGCCACTAAGACACAAGGTGTTACAGGGTGTGGAAGAATTAAGAACAGAAACATTAATAATGAGTGGGAAGAGGAAAGAGTAATCAGGAGGACAGTAGATAGCGATTGACATTGCGTTTAAATTTTTGTAGATTAAAGTTGGCTGGAAAGCATGGAGCCAGAAGGGAGTTCCACTAGCAAGAAGTGTGAGAAAAGAAATTGTTAGCATAGAATTTACAGTCTCATTTTGTAAATTGATGAGATGTTTATGCCTGTGTAGTACTACGCATAAATTTAAAAAAAAAAAAGTCTAGATACCACAGTGGATAGCTCATCTGAACAATTGCTGTGAAAGTATTTATAGAAAAGGCACAGAGTGGTAATCTTATGGCAGTGTGAAAATGACTGAAGCTGAGCTGGCAGATCAGGACCAATAATATTGCTGATTCTTTTTTGGATTTTATGAAGGAGCTCAAGGTAAATAGCAGGGCCACTGGGCCATATGTGGCAGCGATATTCTTAGCATGGATGAATGTTATAGATATGTAAAATAGATTCTGGAGAGAAAAATTGTCTCGCATGACACAGTGAACCCACTTTCTTAGCAGATGACCTACCAATGGATTCAATAAAAAATAGTTTTTCTTTATTCTTGTTCATAGAATTAATTCTGTTTCCATGCTAGATTAATTGATTACTAATATTTTATTTGCATATATCTGTACTACCCGACTCAATTCATTAACCACTTTGAAAACTCTAGCTTAGAGGATTAAGATCTTAGTGAATTTGGTTGAATGGTGATTTTACAATCCCTGGGCAAGGTAGTACAAATATACTCACACTTAGTAGAAACTGGTTTAGCAATAGAAATAACCAAGATGAGATATCCGTAAACATTGACAGTGAAATGAGAATAATTTATCCCCATAGATTGAATAATTGATTCAGTTTAAAATTGCCTGAAGATTACCCAGGTCAGTGAGCACCTAAAGATGACCATCAAGGACAATGTGATGGTAACAACAAAGATGAGGACATTAATTTGACTGTAAATACTAATAATATCTTATCCCAGAAATTCAGACAGAAAAGACATTTTTAATATTCATTAATCACTCCCAGACACAGTGGAGTAATGGATAGCAGCTTGGATTGAGGAATTGGTGAGGCAAGTTCAAATTCCAGGTGAATCCATTATATTCACATTATATGCTAATACCTTTGGCAAAGATATGAATCCTCTTCTCTATCCACCCCTCCCCAGCATGGCACATAACTAACTGAATTACCTCCTAAAATACCTCATGTGCAATATTCAATAATTCTCATGTTATTTATACAAGGTTCAGCAAAATTTTGATTAAGTTGAAATGCAATTTCAGTTTTGTCTGCTTTGTTTCAGACCATATAAGGTCATGCAACTTTGAAGTCATTAATAACCAAAGAATTTAACTTTCTATTGCTTACATTTGCATTCATCACTGTCAGAAAATAGGCAGGATCTGCTGATCCCATAACCTGTTGGAACTTGAGACATTTTCTTAAAGTTGATGGAAGAATAAATAAAATGTCATATTATCAGAAGGTTGACACTTATAATATGCATTATTGATAGCAGGACGATAAACACCAGTGTATTACACTGAGAACTGCACCTTTTAGAATAAAAGTTGCATAATTGTTAGTCCAGACTCCAGTGGAAATGTATAATTATATTCCAACAGCTGGTATCCTAGAATAATAAAGACATTTCTTTTAATGTTTACCTTCAATTTCAAAGGCTAAGTTTACATTTGTTTCTCTTTTATGTTCAATGTGTATGTATGTATGTATGTATGTATATATATATATATATATAAAAATATACTGAAAAAAACAAACAAAAATCCTAATATGTGATTATGCTGTTTTAATGTTAAATGTCAATGTTGGACGTTTTGGTGTAATAGAACATCTTCAGTACATATTCATAAAACATAATTAACATAGACCATATACAATTCAACATGAAAAAGACGATGGACATAAAAGCAATACCAATCCAAACAGATAACTGAAATCTGTTTTTTCATGTTAAATTGTATATGGTCTATGTTAATTATGTTTTATGAATATGTCCTGAAGATGGTCTATTAGACCGAAACGTCCGACGTTGACATTTAACATTAAAACAGCATAATCGCATATTAGGATTTTTGTTTGTGTTTTTTTTTTTGTTTTTTTTTTTTCAGTATATTTTTCTACATACTGTTGGACCTATATCCATATATTTGCTTATATATATATATATAGTTGAAACACAACCTAAACAAAATCAACTATGGAATCTCTACAAATATCCTTAAATGTTTATAATTGGTAACAGAAGCCATTGGTTTATACCAACGGCTTCCCATACTTTATACTTCTCGAATTCACTGTCGCGTGGTCATGTGTGACGTCATGAGATGCGGTGCGATTTTTGCTTCTAGTGTCTTATATGCACGTGTTTATCGTTGCTAGGAAATCATCTATGTAAACGATCACAGACTATCATCAATGTCTTGTCTGTATATTGCTTAATATGTTGTACAGTAATTGACATCTTTGATAATGGTTTATGTAAGGTGAAAGCTTAGATTGGATTAAAAAATATGGATCAATATTGTGATTTTTTTTTCTTTGTTTAATGATAATGTTATTAAGCTTATCAGACGTTATGAAAAGAATTTACATCAAATAGACAACACTTGTCTATATTATTTAATGAAGCACACACACACACATATATATATATATATATATATATATATATATTTATTTCGTTTTGATTTTAATTTTTTTCCTAATATTTTTCTCTGCTTAGAATATTACGTTTGTTGATAAATATCTTTTAATACAATAGTTACCTCCCTTGATTTAATCCTTTTAAGTTTTAAAATTTTCATTCTTATTTCTGTATTTGTATTAATTTTTATCATGAGATTTTTGTTAATGAGATCTTATTTTCTTTCTCTTCCAGATATCCATTGTCTATCTCAGTCAGATCAAGATGCTTGTGAAATTGGACAATCAGAACTTGATGCTCAGGACCAGATTTCTAATCAAAATGATCTTGTATGTAATCCAGTTTCATAATCTCCATAAATCATTTCTTAATTGCAACACTTAAAAAATAATTTAATTCACCTTCCACTTCAAAAACTGAAGATTATCAAATATACTGTATATAGCAGTACTATATGGCTGCTTGTGCTATTGTATAATGTGCTGCTCTTATTTGGCAAACAATATTAAGGACAAAAGTAAAACTAATTATAAGACTTGAAATATTTTTTGTAAAATTTATTTTGATTTATAATTATTTATAATCCTATTTCATTCTTGTGTCATCAATAAACTGATGTGTTCAACACATATTTTGGAACTAGTGTAGTAATCTCTATGGTTGTGCAAGTGCTGTAATGGCTAATGGCTTGAGGTGACAAACTGGACAACCAAGTTTGATTTTTCATTTGCAAATACCATTTAGAAAAGTATGAATCCATTTATTCTGCTCCCAACCATGGGTTAAATAGTAAGGAAGACCGTGTTCATCAGCCATAGTTGTGTACCAGTCTAGAAAGACAACTCTAAATAAGTTGGGCATGTGGCAAGCAACTTCATCCCACAAAAAACCTGTTTGCTATGGAAACCACAGCAGCTATGCCTAGTGTTTTGGGAGCTGTGGACGCCAGTGGAGTTGATAAGACTTTATATATATATATATATATATATATATATATATATATATATATATATATACATACACACACACACACACACTATTAACCTTTAACTTAAATCCTACCCCAACCAAACCCATCCATCTGGATGAAAGTTGTTTTTGGTTTTTTTTTAATATGGTTGGAAATATGATAAAAACAAAATTTTTATATGTGCTAAAAGAAACTAAAAAATGAAGTTTTTATTTATTTATATCAAACTGGAGAGTTTGCCAGAGAAGAATGGATGGTGATCAGTCAGAAATAGAATAGAACAGGTCATTCCTAGGCAATGCCAGTAAAAATGAGATTGAAATTTCATTTTGAAAGAGAAACCTGAAGAAGATTAAATGTATTATAATATTAGGCTTTCAGTTTCTTCCTTAAATTACAAAATGATCAGATCATCCCAACTTCTGTATTATAAATGTTATACAAGACTCCATAAATACTCAATATTATTTGAGATTTTAATTTCCTGTATGCATCATCTAATTAGTCACTTTTACTTAAGGCAACCTATTTTTCTTTGATGTTCATTAAAACCTCTGTTTATATTTTTCTTTATTTTAAGCTTATGTGTACATTGATAAAGGGGTTCAACATGGAAATTCCAACCCCCATAAAAAATTTAGACAAAGACTATATAAAAATAGTTGAAAGTTTATTATTAAATTAAAATATTTACACTTTTATATAGTTGTAGTTGTAACCATGTTATACTAGAAAATACCTATTCTATTGTAAATAGACTCTCCCAGATATAATAAGTGGTGTAGTAGTAGCAGTCGCCAGGGGGCTCAGTGGAGTTGGTGTGTCAGTCGATGTCGGACATTAAAGTATCAACCACCACAACTAAATTGCTGCGTCATTAACTATTATTTCAAGTTCCTAATGTTTTGTATGTTGGACCTTTTTAGGACTGACTTAGTGAAATACAAGCCTCCACTGTGAAAAGTACTCTACAACAAACCAATAAAAAAAAAAAAAAAAAGTTTTTTATCTAATTTTAAATATTTACCATAAAAATGTTCACTTAAAAAGGAATAGCCAATATAAAATACACACACTTAGACTTGTCAGAATATTTTCCATGAAAATAGTGATAGGCTTTCAATCTTGCATCTGTGGAAAAAGGAGTTGCAGGCTGAAAAACAATTCAAGGCTGCATGAGTGTGAAGAGTCAGTGTACAATACTAGCAGAAACCTAAAGCTAGTCTTATTAGTTAGTAATTATTTTGTCATCGTTATGAGATAAGCTTAAAAGAAAAGAAACTTGGTAGTGTCAAGCAGCAAGGTTCCGCTTACATAGTTAAGGAGGTTGAAAGGATCACAGTGAGCAGTAATTTGATACATTTTTTTAATTTTGAAAATGTTGAACAGTATTTTGTATGTGACTTTGATTTTTGTTAATATTATTATGTGCCTATATTATTCTTTCATTTATTTCCTTAGCCTCTAAATCCAAATAACCTTGATTCTAGTATCAGCCATTCTGAAATGGAAAACACGTCAGCAGAATCAGATTTAGTGATGGTCACTTCTGCATCTTCCCACTATGTACAGTCAAGCACCACAAAGCAAGAGCTTATGTCACTTCCAGGTAACTAATTCTTATTCATTACAAACAAGGTTACCTGGTGATATCTGGGTTAAAATATATAGCTTTATAGTTAGACCAGACATTGTCATGGATGGTTTAATCAAAGAACTCATTTCATGTTCAATGATGTGATTAAATAATGTAGAATGTCTTCATTCATATTCCAAAGTATGCATTTATGAATTATGTAACCTACTATGTCATGTGATACTGTAGATTTGACCCATGGTATGGTATTTGGGTTACAGGTGTTGTATTATTGTGGGAATGAGTATTATCTACTAGTATACATGTTTTCAAATTTTTCATTATTTTTCCCTGTGTTCTGAATTTGTGTATAACCTCCTGTACTGTAAATTCTCCTAAATCTATCAAATATTTTTAATGATTGTATAAATATAAATGTAGTAGGTAAGTGATTTTTTTTTTTTTTTTTTTTTTGTTTTGCATTGATGTTAAGCTGCAAGGAAGTAGCAGTAATTTATCGGTCCAACAAATTTCGTAAAGCCAATGATTAGTCATGGAAATGGGGATTGGGGGCAAAATGAGAAATTTTCATTACCTCCCTCATAAAATGATTGTTAAAAATTGGAAGGGGCATTGAAATGTGTGTGTGTGTTAGTAATGTAGGAGTGCTTGAATGAAGTTAATGTAACAGTATTTGAAGGATCAATTGTAAAACATAAGTTGCATTGAAGTCAACATATTGCTCATGTGGGTGACCAACAGCAGGATTCCAAAACGGCTTTTGAGTGGAGATATATTTATCAAAGAAGTGTTTATGGTAACAATCAGGGCTGCTTATTTTTAACAGCACATCTTTAGTGTACTGTGTAGATTTTGCTTTTTAGTTCTGTTTCCTCAATGAAAAAATATTAAATATTAGTGTATGACTGTTTAGTAAAAAGGCAATGTAGTGAAGAATAAACAAAAATAAATTATGAAGCGTGTTGTTTGCAATCCTTATAAGGAATGAGTGCAAAATACTTCCTCCCCCTTCTCAGTTTATAAGTAGAAGCACATAAATGCATGCTGTGATTTTTACCTAGCCAATGAAATAGGCTGGTTCTCAGTTTCATCTGACTTGGTCCTGGTTTGTCTTGTCTTGAAGTCAGAACACTACGTTTGCTTATCTGAACTTGCTCTTGTGTGTCAACCGCAATTCTTAGTTTGTGAACTTTTTGCCATATTACTTTTGCCTTGCAATGTCGATGACCATCTTCTGTTGCCTTGATCCCTGTCCCTTTTTCCTTTCCTCAATCAAGTTTTTTCTCACTTTCACTCACTGTAACTGACTCTGTGCTTGGGGTGAAATGCTTTAAAAAAAAGTCTTTTAGTCCATTTGATAATATGTTGTCAATGTTTGCATTATGGTACATTTTGTGAGCAGATATGAGCATTTGGGAAAGATTGAAGATTTGTTGTTTATAAGCAGTAATTTGGACTTTGCTAACTAGATGCTTGCTTGTTTTATATTAATTTTTTTTTTTTTGCCCTGTTCTTTTTTGTTTTTCTTGTTATTGCTGTCAGTTCTGTTTGTTGGACAATTCTGTTATTTTACATTAGACTGTGACTACTCACGCCACAAAGTGTGTAAAAGGATCATCAGACTTTTGCCAATACTGATACTCACAATCTTGAAAAAGTTAGAAGAAAATGTTCATTTAATGTTATAACAACATAGTGATCTTTAAGTAAAGTTTAAATGTATTTGGCTTTTAAATAAAGAAATACAATTTTTTTTAGTTCATCTCAGAAGTTGTGAATTGCAAGCAAATTTCTTAACTTGTGAAAACTTTTCATATAATTGTAGTGATTTTATTTGATTTTTCTTGCATATATTTTTTATTGAATTGTTTTTTCCCTTCTTTCCAGTTGAAATTTTAACAACAGATGGAGAAAAAGTATTATCCAGTGATTTAACAAACAATGTCCTCCCAGAAGATAACAGCAGTGGTCTTTGATTTCTTTGACTGAAGGAAATACTTTTTCTTTTTTTTTGTTTTCTTTTTTTTTTTTAATTTTACTTCAACCCTGCACCAAAACATTGCTCTATTTTTTCTCTCTCGACAATTGTTTGATCACATGAAAATTCTCAAAGAGAAAAAAAAAAAAAAGTTACATTCAATCTGCTTTGATCTGACAAATTTTGACTTGTATAAAAAAAAAAAAAAAAGAAAAAAGTCAAGAAACCCTTAAAGATGCAAAGGGTGTGTTTTTTTTTTTTTTTTTGTTTTTTTTTTTATCTGTAAATCTTTTAGAGGGTTTACTCATATGTACTTCAAGGATTTTATGTCACACTTTCTCTCCACACTAATGAAATGTAATTCTACTGGTGTGGTGTGTGTTTTAATTTCTTTTCTGCAATGAAATTTATTTTTTTGAGTTTGTTAAGTGTAGATATTAATGTACGGACATATCTGGTAACAGTTGAGGCAACTGTGTTGCTCTGAACTTTGCTGGTTTAGATTTTAACCTGCAAACATGGGTGGGGGCCATCATGTTTTTATTTATTTATTTATTTTGTAAACTTTTATTCTAATCCTTTGTCCCCCCTGCAATCAAACTGAATGCTCTAAATATATATTTTATTTTTTTAATGAGTAGCATATTTGTTGAATTACAAATAAGATGGTAGGCTCTGGCTAAAATTATAAAATCTACTTGGCTCTTAATACAAAGTCTGTTTACACTTGCTATGGTTGCTCAATATACAAGCTAGGTCTTGGGCAAGTCTTTCAAACCATATGCTCAACCTTGTTTGTCTATCCATGTACTTGTAAAAGTTTGACAAAACATCTCCAGTTGACATCTGAATAAGATGTGCTACTTTAAGGTGTTCATTACTCCTTTTATAATGAAGCTACTGGTTTTTACAGAGTCCTGTCACAAATCATTTATTTTATTAATGTCTTGACTGCAAATGAGCAATTGAAACACAAGATGTGTGTGTATGGCTTTTATTTTGTAAGCTAATATTGAAAATTGAGAAATGTAGGTTCAGCTGTAGTCTTGAACAGTTCTTGGAGTTGGTAAAAAAAAAAAAAAAAGAATATATATATATATATATATATATATATATATATATATTCGAGTGGTTTATTAAACATGATACAGTCTGTATCCCATGAGTAAATGTGACAAGTATTATGAGACAGATGTAAGTTGGTTTGTTTTTTTATAATAAGTATAAAGCATTTAGAGTTCTAATTACAGTGCAAGTTTTATCCTTTTTCAAGATAGGGGCTAGAATTATGGGATGATGATAATATCAATTGAGGCCAATCACACACAAAAGCAAAATTTAAATTTTTATTTCTTGTCTGAAAAATAAGCATTTTGTGATGGCAATATTTTTAGTTCAGTAAAAATGTCTTTCAAAATTCATTCTTTCTTTCTTTCTTTCTTTTTTGTCAATGCCAGCCAGTAATATTTTTAATTTGTGGAGAGGAAGATGTCACAAAGTGTGGATTGAAAAGAAAAAAAAAGGTCTTCATTGACTATATAGTCATTGGATACTGTGATATTTCAACATTGAATACCCACAGGAAGTTTCAAAGTATTTTTTTATTATTTAAAGACTAATTCCTCTTTTACATTTCTATAAGAAACATTGTGATTTTTATGATTATTCCTGATGTTATCAAAGATTCATTATCTGTTTCCTCTTTGTTTAGCAATTTTCAAATGTTACAACCAAAACAAATGCTTTCAAATATGAATTTATCTGAAAGAAACTGGTAGCCCTTTCTTGCCATTTCTACTAAACACAGGCTTTTTATAGTGAGGGTAAGTGTGAAAATATTTTAAAGTTTGGAGGGGCAGTTTCTTGTGTAATACTTGAAAAGTCCAAGGTTTGTGTTTCCACAAATCTGCTTCACTAAGAGTTCTAAAACCATAGAGTAATTAATAGCATGGTAGTGTTGCAAACCAGTTCTTGCTCACATTCATTTCTTGCTGGGTGCTGTGAATTCTGGCTCAAACATGATAGAGTAGTGACTCTACTAATGTTGAGAGTGAGTATGAGAGACTGACTGAGGACTGAAAGAGAGGAATGACTGAAATTTGCCTTTCCACAGTAATGCCCTTTGCTGGTTCAGCAAATAAATAAAATTGATAATGCCAAAGAAGTTGATAATTGTAAGTACCAAGTTAAAGTATGCATTTTCTAGCAGCTTTGTCTGAATGAAGAAGTTTGTTTTCAAGTTAATTGAAAATGCATTTTTTTTTTTTTTTTTTAGATCTTTTTTTTAATGTTCCCGTCCTTTAGCAAAAGAAACAAAAGAACTCATATAATCAGAAGATCTTAGTTTTTATTGAAGTTTTCTTTCTGTAGCAGATTATTTTTAAAACCCATCTTACACTGATAAAGTTAGAGGTTTGGAGGGGGGGGGATATTTATGTCCATCTCTCCCTGCAATATTATTTTGGAATCCAAGGATTAATATTTCAATGTAGCAAGTAATAGGACAATTCAGTCTCCCTGAAACCACTGCTCCATCCATTGTCACCCACCCCCTTTGACAGATGGTGTTCAGTTATTTCTTTTGTAGTACATTAAATGTTCCCCCTCACCAATCTTCACCTGTCTCATTCTTTACCTTAAGCAGAATGGGTGATCAACAATGGTGATTGTTCATGAAAGGTACTTTCTTTTCATCGTAGATTGGTATTTTAAAAAGAAAAACTAATGAAAGAATTAATTTGAATGGTTTAGTTTATGCTTTCA